GGTCGTTCCTTCAAGCATCATGGTGAAGTATTTCGCACATGCCACATCATCCACATCGAGCATCTCCATGGCCATCTCATAGCTCTCCACCCATGTCTCTGGAGGTTGATCCGCCGTGTAATTTGGTACCTCGCGTGAGCCTTTGAAATCCTTGGGCAGGCGCACATTGTGTAAAGCGGGGACAAGGAAAGGCACCCCCAAAGAACTAGAAGTAACCCCAGGTTCAACCGAGATAGTTGGACGAACCGGCGTAAGCTGCCGAGCCTGATACTGTGCAGCTAACTCGGCCTCCCTGCACGCTCGGGCCCGGTCCACAACTTCCTGAGCGTTATCAGCACCACCCGCCGGGTTGTTGCTGCGGGGTGCTCCACGTCGTTCATTACTTAACACTGCCGGTTCATCCATACGCCTGCTATAGCTCCGGCTTAGACGAGGGGTCGAGTGGATCCGGTCGCGGCTGTACGAGTATGCTTCCTGTTGGAATGGCCTCCAGTCGTGCAGCAGCGGCAACGAGATTGTCCATCGGGTTGGAATAATGACCCAGAGGTGTTGAAACAGCCTGAGGTATAACAGTGTTTTGACGAGGCAGATCCATCAGACGGGGCTGAACCGGCGCGCCGGTCCCAGGAGCTTCCGCCCGGTTTCCCTCCAGCGGATTACTGGTTCCTGCTCCTGGGGTGTTGAAAAGGTCTCTGGCCTCGAAAACCGAAGGCAAACGGGATCGGTACTTCCTCTTCATGATTTCATGCGACGCATTCTGGTCCAACATGAGCCTGTAGGCTTGTGCGTCTAAAGCGGCCCGCTCTGCTGTCATCCTAGCATTCTCAGCTGCCAGGTCCGCCTTGGCCTGGGTGATATGTTCCTTCACCTTTGCAATCTCCGCGTTGTGGACGTCCTGATCCGCCGGGCTAGCTTCTGCCATAAGCACAGCCAATGCATCAAATAGATCTGATAGAACTTGAGCCGGCGGGCGTACAGAGCTTCCTGCCCCGGCAGCTGTCGCCGCTACTGAACTGGAGGTTATTGGCGCAGCGGTCGAAGAATGAAGCGCTGCTTATGTGCCGGCCATGAATATTCCAACTCGGTTGGGTAGATCAGAGGGGTCCGGATTACTGTCGCCATCGGAACAGCCCCCAATCCGGCCATCTTGTAGCTGATATAGAGATTCGGTTTCTCCGGTTGATGACTCGTCGCCGAAATAAACGACGGTCTCGCCGCGAGATTCCAATCCATCCTCATAACTTCCTCCATGGATGACTCCCACGAAGGCACGCTTCACGGCCGGTTTAACCCGGGCGGACCGCGCACGCTGAGCCGTTTCGACGAGGTCGGTGCAGATGTCCGGCTCAGGGCCCGGTTCACCGATCTTGCCGATGAAAACGTGTATGCCACCAAAGGGGACCCGGTACCCGTACTCAACTGAGCCGGCCTCGGGGCCCCAGCCTGCATCATCGATGTAGAGCTTGCCGCGACGACTCTTAGTCATCCGGCCCACAGCGTAGCCCTCGAGTCCTTCAAAGCGGCCCTCCAAGAATTTGAAACCATCATGCGGTAGCCCCACGGTGGGCGCCAACTGTCGTGGAATTGTCACGGCAGATGTCCTTGTGAAAGGACTTAGTCGTGGAGCCATCGCAACGGGTTAGCTTGAAGGGGTTAAAGCGGACACAGGGACGCAAGAGAGTTTATACTAGTTCGGCCCCTTCGATGAAGGTAAAAGCCTACGTCTAGTTGTGATGGGATTGATGGGGTTTCGATGACTAGGGAGCAAACAAGCTTCGCCTAAGTCTCGAGTTGTTGTCTGTTGTCCTTGAACCGCCGCCGTGTCGTCCCCTTATATACATGGGTGACGCCCGTCGGTTTACAGAGTCCCAACACCGGCTCATATACGTTTTTGGTTTGGTCTCTACTTATTCCTAACTTACATTACAAGTTTACATACCGACGCCGGTTTACGGCTACAAGCCTTAAACCGATCATGGGCTTTAAGCCCTCATCTACCTTCATGGGCTTTAACATACTTAACTACTGATGAAGTTAACCCGGCCCAGATAGGCCGGTTTACGCCCAGTAGTAATATCCCCAACAGTTCTGGATGGTGTACCATCGATACGCTAACGGCTTCATATTGCATTCATGGATGATGTGCATGTCATAGGGGCGCAATGTGCTTTTGCGCATGAAATGAACCATGCACGCACTACCAAAAGAGACTCCTTCTGCTCTTACCTACGATGTCCGCAGATATGGCTAACCACGCATCAGATAACAACTCATCATCCAGGCTTGAGTACCACGCCATCTTTCTTACTATTAAAAAACGACATGAAGTTCGAAAATAAGCTCAATGGCATGTGAACAAACACCTATCGGCTGTGGTGTCTGCCGTGGATGTCGTCGACAGGGGCCAGATAGTACTTGGTTGCAGATGGACCCTGGGTGGACGGTGCTGTAGGACAAGGCGAGTGGGCGCGTGGGTGGTGGTAGTGGACGTTCGACAATGCCTGGGTGGTGGCCGGATAGGTATAGCGACGGCGTTGAACAAGGAGGGTGCAGTTGCAAAGCAAGGTGGAGCAGGGCCGCAGTGAAAGAGAATTTGATCGTCGAGAGTCGTAGCCCTACGTGGCAACACTAGGGACTCCCTCAAAGCCGACCCCCCCCCCCCCAAGTATGCTTCCAATTTTTGGATAAAGCACATCCGGACCGGTCAGCTGACCGATACATGCCCTCGTTGGATGAGAAAACATGTCTGAACCGCGCAGTCCGGACGGTTACGAGTGGTTTGAGGGTCGACATTGGAGATGCCTTGAAATCCGGAACAATTCCTGACCATTTTTTTCAAAAAAGGATTTTCCCTTCTGGCAAGAAAAGTAGGTTTGAGTGGTCTGTCCACAGACATTGTTTTGTGAAGAAATGATATTTGTAGGGCTGTAGACAAAATAAAATAAAACCAGTGGTGCAAAATGCTTCAAAAAAGTTGTTGCTTGCGGGAGTAGCCCGGGCACCTTCCTTCTGTCGCCACCAACCACTCCCCTCCTCCCATTCCTCCTCCTGGGCGCCGCTGGTGAGCGCCTCCATGCGAAGCCCGCGTGGTAGCGGCGGCGATGGTGCCTCCCCTACCTAACGTGGCTCAGGAGGCTTGGGTCGTCGGATCTTGCGAGATCGTGGTGGCCATCTGGAGCGTCAAGGCGGCATGGCTCTGGCCGTTTCTTGGTAGCGTGGTGCAGCATGGCCGTGGTGTAGGCGGGTGGTCACAGTGGAGGCGTGGCTGGGTGACGATGGCTCTGATGCGCGCGGACCTCGGTTATCCTCACTCCTCCCATGCTCTATGGTGCGTGCCGACTATGGGGCTGGCTTCCTCGCGTCCCTGGGGTCGCGTCCCTGGGCTGGCTTCCTCGGTTATCCTCACTTCTCATGGAGGCGTTGTCTTTCTTCTAGTCAGTAGTCTCTTGTGTGTCATGATGGAGTGTGTCCACTCTTGTCATCTGGTTTTATCTTTGGTCTGCATTGTAAGGGGTTTTCCTCATCACTTTGTATCGGTTCTCGGGTGTGTTGTTTTATGTATAATGTATAAAGAGAGGCAAAAGCCTTTTTTCGACACATGCTTCAAAAAATGTAATTTGAGAGCACCAAATCTTTTTCCAGAGCGCCATGGCTGTCATTTTTTTCACAAAACTTTAAACATAGGTAGAACATGTTGGAAAAATTATTCATGATTTTTTAAATTATTCTGCTATTTTCTCTTCAGATTTTACCCTTCATAAGGATCTATATGAGAAGCCAAAACTCCATGTCTGTGCGACTACTTTTTTCATTACGAGTTGCCAGTAGTGCCAGCAAATTTCTGGATTTTAACATCCATGGCTTTCTTGATTTTATTTTCTTTAACATTCATGAATTCATTGAGTTTTTTCGCCAGTAGTTCTGGATTTTAGCATCCATGAACTTATTGATTTTTTTCTTTAACATTCATTGATTTCTAGAGTTTTTATTTGGCTGTAATCACTTGAATTTGCATCTCAATTGCTAGCCCTATCACATCATACAAATAACTACTACTATTACTTAGTAAATGCTCTTAGAGCATTACTAGTAGAGCCCTCAAACCCTCAAACCCCTAAAAATAACTGTTTTTTTACAGTTTTTGTCGAAAAAAAGCCGTAGACTAGAACCCCTTAAGCCTCAAACCCTTAAAAAAATTTAAAGGTCCAACCCTCAAACTCTCTCCCAATCCTCAAAAGTAAGGGTTGGGGAGCAAAACCTACCCCAACCCTCATTTGGCGGTTATACTCGCGCGGGAGGGGAAAATCCTCCCAACTCCCGCGCCCACGCCCGCGACCGCCGTTGCTAGTCGCCCCCGTCGCCGGCGGCCGCCCCGTCGACCTCTCGCGCGCAACGACAACGTCGTTCATGGGGAATATTCCGTTATAAGGGTTGGGTTTGAGGGTTCTAATCTTTGCCCCTGTTTTTCAATCCGTAAAAGTGCACAAAAAGATCATTTTTAACCCTTAAAACACTAGTGAGGGTTCGAGAGTTTGAGGGTTCTACTAGTAATGCTCTTACAAATATCAATAGCATCACAGATACAAGAGCACATCGCCATCACACGTCTGCCTCAGCAAAGCAGAGGATCCAGAAATAGTTAAGAAAAGAAGGAGGCCAGGAAGCAAAGCATTTTTCCTATAAATCCCGACTTTACCCTCCCCTGCTTCATCTTCAGCTCAACCAACCCCTGTCACCAGTATAAAACCATGGAGCCGAGCCTCCATCCGTTCCAACCCGACATTTCATCGACCTCCCGGCGGCTCACCGCCGGCGTCGTTAACTTCTTGACCCGCCGTGCCATGACCACGCAGTAGAACCACCACCCAGCAGCAGCATCCCGCCAACTCCCGCTCCACTCGCCGGGCTCGTCCACTGGCTCTGCCGACTCCACGCCATGGCACCACCGTGCTCTGACCACGCCGCCCCTGCTCCCGTTCGACACCAACGATGCCGACGAGATGCTCCTGCTCCACATGCTCTCACAGCACCAGCAACACACGCACAAGGCCCTGGCGGCGCCGGTGAAGCTAGAGGCGGCCGACGGAGAGGAAGCAGGTCACCAAGTCAGCGACGGGCGCGCGTTCCGCGGGGTGCGCAAGCGGCCATGGGGCAAGTACGCGGCGGAGATCCGTGACTCGACGCGGAACGGCGTGCGTGTGTGGCTGGGCACCTTCGACAGCCCGGAGACTGCGGCGCTGGCATACGACCAAGCTGCCTTCGCCATCCGCGGCGGCGCCGCCGTGCTCAACTTCCCCGCCGACCATGTCCGGCGTTCGCTTGAGGGCGTAGCAGACGACGTGTGCGGTCGTGCCCATAGCGTGTCGCCCGTGCTCGCGCTCAAGCGGCGGCACTCCATGCGGAGCCGGAAGGCCACGGCGGCGGGCAGGAAGGTGAAGGCCGCCACCCGGGGGGCGCAGCCAGAGGGCATGGTGATGGAGCTTGAGGACCTCGGTGCGGAGTACCTCGAGCAGCTGCTCGGCGCCTCCGAGGACACAGCCACCATGGATTCATGGTGCTGGAGCCACCACTTTATCTGATTTTCTCAAGTCAGCACTCAGACTTGAAGATGACGGATGGATTTGCTCGCTGTTTTTCTCTTTCTTGTTGCTGGGCCAGTCTTGTTCTAGCTAGATAGAATTCAGATAACTACCTTGGGATTGAGGAAACCGTTTGTGAAAACGACGGCTGTGCTGGTTTGGTTTGGAAGTGCTGATTATTTTGATTTGAATTAGGTCAGGTCAATATGAGTGGGTTTTTACGACCCTCTTGTTTCCTCGCTTAACCCTAAGTGGCTAGGGCAAACTCTCCCCACCAGAATTCATCGGTGTGTCCGTGAATTCGCTTTCCTCCCTGCCCGCCTCTCTGACGGCCGATGGCGAGGAGGGGAATTCCGGTGCCTCCGCTCTGGTAGCCGGTGGCGTGGAGGGGAATCCCGGTGCCTCCGCTCTGGTGGCCGGTGGCGGGGAGGGGAATTCCGGTGCCTCTGCTCTGGTGGCCGCTGGCGCGAAGGGGAATCCTGCAGGTGCCTACGCTCTGGTTAGTAGTTTAGAATAAGGATTTTTAGTCCTCGTAGACGCGGCGCTCAAGCGGATGCCGGCCCTTTTTCTTCGAGTTTGTCTTTCGGGCACCCATCCTCGTTGAGTTCGTCTGTCTGGACGTAGTCGACAGGGCTCCGACGTAGATTCCTGTCGTATCCTTGGGGCAGTGAGGTTAGGGTTTCTTGTCATGTGCTGAGATTCTGTGTCAGACGCTTCAAATTCAACGGTTCAATGCCGACAACTGCGGCTCCAAGGCTCTGGTCCTTAGGGGCACGTGCACGAAGACTTCCCAGTTGTCATCGGTCAGATCACGTTGGCTCTGATAAGGGAGTCGTGACAACAGCTTCTTCTATCGGCAATAGTGATCGTTCAGCGGTCCAGAAACCTCAATGTAATTTTTATTATGTTTAAGATGATTTTTACTCCAGTGAACTTTTATAACAGTTATGATGATTTTCGAAAAAAAAATATGAACGGTTCACCTAATGCTCGGGAAGACTCCTGCCTCACGTATATGACACAGGCGCCAAGTTTGAATCTCTTTACAAGAAGGGAGACAAAAAAAAAAGTACTGCGATGAATTTTATGGTTGACGGCTGAAGTGGAATGAAGCGTTCTTGCGTGGATGCTGACGTGGCAACGAAAAGGATGAAATGCATGCATGTGCTGATTGACCGGGTCAAGAGTCCAAACATGCATCCATGCAAGGTTGGTAGCACTCACTCACGTGCAATTATAAACGCAAGAATAAGATAAACATACTAGTCCAATCCATGATCCAATCGAATCGAGTCGATAAGGTGGTACTCCTAGTCCTATGTACATATTCAGGTTGGCTGGCATGTCGTACTAATTCAATCGATGCCACTGCAATGGGTCTGGTTAGTTTGTTTTGCTTCCACCGGCACCGCACTCAGGAGGTTAATTGATATTCTAACCTTAGTTATTAGTATATGGTCAAAAGATCACGAAAAAATCACTAGCTAGCTTTTCCATTGCCACGAAGAAAAGGTACTAACTAGGAAAGCACATGATGAGGGTGACATTTGATAAAGCTGGAGTGACAAATAAAGGAGGGGTAATTGATTTACGAATACTCCACTTAACTACAACGTGCAAATTAAATTATGTCTACGTAGGATGTACGTACGTAGTTGTCCTTAGTTAGCACTCCAATAAGATAAATCAATCTTACATTTGTTAATAACACCATCAAAATTGCAGGATATGTATACTACTTAGCTTCTTGGCAGGGCCGTGCCGGCAAAATCCGGGGCCCTGTGCGAAACTAAAAAATGGGCCCTATCTCATAAAAGAATAAACTAACAAACAATCATAATGCATATATATCTCATAGAAAAAATTATAATGTACTGTATATAATATAATGTCTTACATAACAACTGGACATATAAAAAAAGTCATACCTATCCAACTCCCGGTTGCTATTTATTTGAACATCCTCATTTTTTTAGTATTTTTTAAAATGAAATTTTCAATGATATACTCGTAATCAATCTTCTTCAACACTTCACTCTCAAGTGCTATTGTGGCCAAATCATTGAGTCTTTGTTATGTCATAGTAGTACGCATATAGGACTTCAATAGCTTTAAGGTAGAACTGTTACAATGTGATTCTTAATCAAGGACTTAAGAACCAGTCTCTAACGAAGTAAAAATCCCTGTCAATAGTTAATGAAAATTAGGAATTAGGAGTAGGAATCAAAGTTAATAGAAAAGGACTCGGTAGTCATTAAGCACCTGAAGGCTGCAGTCAGTCACCGATCAATCTGATGAGCAACGGGTCTGAAATTTAGGAGAGGAGGCGAGCAAGGCAACGGCGGCGGCGGCCTGAATCTGATCGCAGGCATGTCCGATCGATCGGCGGCCTGAATCCGATCGCAGGCATGTCCGATCGATCTAAGGCGACGAGATGTTTCCTGTAGCGACGCCGTCCGGCCGACGCGATTGCGGTTTCCCATTCCCCGATTGAGAGTTCCAGAGTCGAGATGATCCCCGTTCCCCGATCCCGATCGACTATTCCAGGCTACGATCCTGTTGTTTTTTTAGACCGACGAGGGCTCGAGGCAACGATCCCATTTCCATCTCTCTCTTTTTTGAGGGAATATCCCATTTCCATCTAGTACAACGTAGATCGAGCAGTTTAGGACGAGGAGACGATCATGTTTCAGGGCTCGATGGCCTCATCGCGCCCAGCGGCCCAGTGCACTAGCAGTTAGTTCTTTTAATACTAGGCCTATATAAATAATTTGAGCCCCCTCAAAATTATGGGCCCTGTGCGGGCCGCACATTTGGCACCACTATAGGCCCGGCCCTGCTTCTTGGAAACACCCTATATATTTGGGCATGCCAACAGAAGTGGGACACTCAAAGAATGGCACGTTCAAGTATATGAGAGACAGAGTCTGGGAAAAAGTTAAAGGCTGGATGGGAAAATTACTGTCTGCAGCGGGCAAAGAGGTTCTTATAAAATCAGTGGCTCAAGCAATACCAGTGTTCTCTATGTCATGTTTCAGGCTCCCAAGAGGACTGTGCGCGAGTGTCACATCCATTATTCGACAGTTCTGGTGGGGGGAGCAAAAGAGGACAAAGGAAACCGGCATGGGTGGCATGGGACACGATGACAATGCCGAAATATATGGGAGACATGGGGTTTCGAGACCTAGAGCTTTTTAACTTGAGCCTTTTAGCAAGGCAAGCATGGAGGATCTTGGAAGACCCGGAGTCACTGAGTGCTAAGATTCTGAAAGCTGTCTATTTCCCAGACCGATCACTTTTGGAAGCACAGTTGGGTTCGCGACCCTCACAGATTTGGAGGGGAATTTTGGACGGAAGAGACGTTTTGGCACAAGGAATCATTCGCCGGATAGGGGATGGTGAAGAAACAAACATCTGGTCTCAGAATTGGATCCTTAGAGAGAGTTTTAAGAGACCAATCACATCCCTTGTACTGGAGCCACCACGTCGTGTTGCAGAACTCATTGAGAGCGCCACGGCCTCGTGGAGGACGCAGCTTGTCCGGTCAGTTTTTACTCCTTTTGATGCGGAGGCAATTCTCCAAATACCATTATGCACGCGTCGGGTTTTAGATTTTTGGGCATGGAGCGAGGAGTCCAGGGGCAACTTCTCTATCAGTTCATGTTATCGCATGCTCGTTCGGACAAAGCTTAACAGGGAGGCTTGGCTTGAGGGTCGCGAGGGCACTTCTGACGTAGGAGCAGAGGGGTGCGAGTGGAAATCTTTGTGGAAAATGCAGGTTCCACCAAAGCTGAAGGTATTTCTTTGGAGATTGGCGAAGAGTTCGATCCCATCTGGGGAAGTTCTACATCGGAGAAATATGGCCACAACAGCATCTTGCACTCTATGTGGAGCTCATGACTCGTGGAAACACGCGCTACTCGAATGTCCTATGTCACGGGGTGCATGGGCACTGTCATCCGAACAGATAGTTGACCAGATCAGCTTGAATCAGCATGAAGGAGCCAAGGATTGGATTTTTGCAATGGGGAAAGCCTTACCTTCAGAGGAGTTTATCAGGATGGTGGTAACACTTTGGGCCATTTGGGGGGCGAGACAAAAGGTGATTCATGAAGATATCTTCAAAAGCCCTTTCGCTATTAATGCTTTTGTGAACACATATCTAGCGGAGATCAAAGCATTATCGCATGTGAGAGAGCCCCATATGATTGCGGTCTCCAGGAGGATTGGGGTGGTTAGCTCCACCGGAACGCTATGCAAAGATCAACGTCGATGCTGGGATGACAAGGGGAGGAAACCATGGCGCTGTGGGCACTATATGCAGGAACTTTGATGGTGTTTTTTTGGGCACATTAGCTTATGTGTTTCTGAACCATCGTGACTGTCACACCCTCGATGCGACTATAGCTCCCACGTGTCGAGGCACGACTTAGAGACATAATCGCATTGAAGGCATATGTCGCAAGTTAGGCAATCTTCACAACATCCCATGTAATATAAATAATAAAGGGGAGATAACAATAGTTGACTTACACTCGCCACGTCAATCAAGTACATAAATAACATTACATCATCCAAACACTCATGGCCCGACTACAGCGCCAAAATAAAAGATAACCCAACATGCGACACGGTCCCAATCACCCCCAACTGGGCACCACTACTGATCATCGGGAAAGGAAACATAATAACGTTGAGAGTCTTCGTCGAACTCCCACTTGAGCTCATACGCGTCTCCTGGAGCGGAGTCATCAGGCCCTGCATCTGGTGTAATAGTAATCTGTGAGCCACAGGGACTCAGCAATCTCGCACCCTCGCGATCAAAACTATTTAAGCTTATAGGAATGGCAAGGTAAAATATGAGTGGCGCTGCAGCAAGCGACTAGCAAATATGGTGGCTAACTTATTCGCAAAAGAGAGCGAGAAGAGGAGGCAAAGCGCGAGCGAGAAACTAGAGAGCAACCTACGTAAACATTACTCCAACACCGTGTCCACTTCTC